ACCTGGCTCCACAGAAACAGGTGAATTGATATATGCATACAGAAGTCGCCAGATGCGAGTTCGTTTCCTTAAGGCTTCTGTAGGTGAATGGACGACTGGAGAACACTACTTTTAGCGTTGCCGCGAAGAATGTTCTTCTTAAACGTGCTGGAGTTCTTCTCTTTAAGGATATCGCAAGCTAAATCTCCCTTGAAATCCAATTCATGTAAAGTATCTTTTTTTTGAAACAAGTGAAGTTTCGTTCCTCTGAACCTTTGGTTTGATATTCTTGTTGATGAATCTTGGTAGGTGGGTATCCATTTTGAATGAAGGCTTTTTCTGCTACCAAGGCGTCAGGACTGGAGATGAGTCAGATCCGAGTGGTAAGGGATTTAATAAGGCTTTGTTTCCTTTTAATAATCACTTGAATTTTTTGGTAAGCATTTGAGAATTGACTTTTTGACATGACTTCAATATCTGTGACTTTATTTCTAATTTCTGGTGTACGTTAAAGTTGTTTAATTCTAATTAAACACAGTCTGATATATCGGAGTACATTAATTCGTGTATGTATTATTCTTAATTAATCAGTCATCATATAGGTGGTTAGAGTATTTTTTTTATATGCGTACTGCAACATACTTAAAGGATACTAGTTTCCACAGTTGTCTTTGCACCAGCTTCATGAATCGAACTTATAGAAAACAGAAAGATTGAGCGAATAAATATTTTCTGTAGTTTGGTTTGTAATGGTTAATTAATCTGATGCTCACTAGTGACCTGCTACAGGATGGCGTTTCCTGGAGTTCTAGTGAGAAGTCGTGACCGGTGAGGTCCATCCAGTCGGGAATGAGGATGGATGTCCCACCTACGACAATGGTTGGGGTAGCGCGGAGTCACGAATTAGTACAAGTCAGAATTTATGTGCTGGCCATTGAATCGGGTCCCAGTGGCTGAATGGTATAGGAGCCAGGTTGCCTTTTAACAAGAAGGTCCTGGGTTCGAACCCCGGTGGGTGCGTACTGCCGATGATTCTCAAACTAGGATGAAACAGCTGTCCAGTACTCCCTGGTTTTCAATGGTTCTCTAACTGATATTGTGGTGAGAGCAGGCTGCTAGCCGATTGGTTGACACTAATCTACGTTAATGTCTAGGTCACTAATATGGGCCGTGAGAAAATATGAACAAGGCTGTTTCAACAACCAATCACAGCAAACTTAAACGTGGACAAATATGATTCGCAGATAGATGGCTCTACTTTCCGAGAAATATCGAAAACAACCAATCATAAGACTGTGTTTGTCTGCTTAACTTCCGTGAAGCAACCAATCAGAAGACTGACTATTTCTGCTTGCATAAGCCTTATTAATGTACATAAAATATATATAAATACGTGTTGATTTTCGTAATAAAACCATCTGTTGCCAGCCCTTGTCTTCTGTTGTTACAATATCAAACCGTGATCAACTCGTAAGAAGAAATATTTACTTTTCAATTAGATCCTCATCTCTGGCTCTACTCTGATATACACGCATAGCATTTTTATTACAATACACAACAATTCACCAATCAAGTGCCACTGATGATATGTTTGTTAACAAAAATTAGTCAGTGTCAAAATGTTAATCGGGTGATAATTAACGAAGAAAATTAATACACACAATTATAAGGTAGAACTGGTTACAACACGTGGATTGTATAATTCATAATTTTGATAAAATGAAGAGTAATTAAGGAGTAGGCGTGTGCACAGGTCGATTACGTAACAGATTGTTAAAGAACTCTGAAGAGATTGATTTATCGTAAGCTGTCATGGAATGGTCAACTGACAAATTTCTACAGCTGGGTACCCATTAGTCGAAAACGAAACCTGGTGCGGTCGCTTGCCACCCGAATTCGGTGCATATGTAGCACTGATACTGTGGAAGATGAGTTATACATTTTGAGGAAAATCCTAATAGAAAATTGGTTTCCACGACGTTTGATAGATAAGAATATACATTCAAAGCCTACAAAACGTGACTTATCAACCGTACCCAAGAAAATACTTTCCATGAGCTTGGAATTCAAAGGGGACTTAGCTTCCGATATCATGAAACGAAGGATAACACAGTCCCTGAAAAGAACATTCCCTGCCGCATCTCTGAGAATAGCCTTTCCTAGCCGACCATTACTGTTCAGTAACCTGAAGGACAAGATCTCGCTGTTGACTAACTCTGTGTGTGTTTGTTTATCAATTCACCTGCTCGTGTGGAGCTAGGTATATCGGTCGTTCGACTTGAGTTTTTTCCAAGAGGGTGCAAGAACACTATCCTGCATGGTTAAGAGGAGGTGAAAGTGGGGCGATAAGAAGCGCGATCATTCAACATCTGGTCGATAATGATCACCCTATCTCTATAGCCTCCACCTTTAAACTCATCTACAAGGCAAATAGTAATTTACCCAAATCCCTACGTACCCGACTCATATGTATTGCTGAAGCCATCTATGGCTATCGAAACAGAAAAGCCAGATCTCTGTGTACAGAAAAAGTTCGTTCACGCCCCCCCCCCAACTTTCATGGTCATAATCCCTTTGTGCTAAAGTATGGTAATTGCAACTCATATTTTGGCTCTACCAATTTTTTTCATTTTGTCTATTCAATTTGTATACTCTGGTGGATAACGCTTTGGCGTTTGAAACTATGGGCACTGAGTTCGAGCCTCGGTGGGAACATCATCACTCACTGAGAAATGCAGGTACATCCAGCTGACGAGTCCCAATTAGGACGAAATGCGCATCCTGGATTCCACTGCTAGCCACCATCCACCAATTGTTGTATACTCTTCCTTTATTATGCCAATTGTGGCTATTACTATTCTCACTTTGAACTGTCCCCGGTATTATTTCACTCGTTCCACTTGTCATTCTAAATCAATTCTGTTTTGCAACATTAAATTCTATGTTATCAACTTTCACACAATATTACGCAACGTTTTCATTTGATTCGACTTCTCTACTAATCCTATAATTGCACACCCTTTTCAGGTTTTATCCATCCTATGAATTATTCTATATATGACATTAATTACTTTGCCACTTGACATTTAACTATGAGTATAATCAAAAACATTTTAGTTTTAATTGCACTTCATATTATTTTTATTATTTTATGCATTCACACCTATGATTAAATTCCCTCACCGGATATAACTTCTTAAAAACCATATATATACGACTGTACAGCTTGATGATAAATTCGTTGAAAAGAGTCTCTTCGCTGAATCACTTGTTTTGATTTTCTATATGCTGTAATGGGAATTTTCCATGAGTTTAAAAGCACATTATCATTGTGCAAATCGTTTTATTTTCTTTAACAATCTGTTATGTAATCGACCTGTGCACACGCCTACTCCTTAATTACTCTCCATTTTATCAAAATTATGAATTATACAATCCACGTGTTGTAACCAGTTCTACCTTATAATTGTGTGTATTAATTTTCTTCGTTAATTATCACCCGATTGACATGTTGACACTGACTGATTATTGTTAACAAACATATCATCAGTGGCACTTGATTGGTGAATTGTTGTGTATTGTAATAAAAATGCTATGCGTGTACATCAGAGTAGAGCCAGAGATGAGGATCTAATTGAAAAGCAAATATTTCTTTGCTCAATCTTTCTGTTTTCTAAGTGTCTAAATCGGGATATTTTCCATACTGAAATTCAACTTATAAAGTATTGATGTGAAAAATTAATTCCTTTAATAGTGAAAGTCAGGTTATATGTAAGAAAATGTTACAATAAAATTAATAATAGCAGTGACTACATGCATGAAAAATATGCACAAAACAAAGACGGAATTTAAATCATCAGTACTGTAACGATAGATGACAAGGAGCAGGCAACATTTAGTTTATTGAGAAATTCACAGATAGTTATGTATTTTTATGTACATTATTTTTCGTTTTTGTTAGCAGAGAATTAACCTCTCCTGATTGGTTGTTTTCTTGCTGAAGGTTATTCCGTCATTTCTTTGTTGCCGTTTCTTAGACTGTCCTAAGGTATATCTACGAATCGTATCCGCCTACGCTAAGTCTGCTGTGATTGGTTGTTGAGTTAGTCTTTGTTCTTGATTTATTATCATGACCAAGATATGGGACGTAAACATTGACGTATACTCCTGTCTACCAATTTGGGCTAACAGACAGCTTTCACCCACAGTAGTGTTTCTATACAAAGAGGGAATCTCGAAAAGCTCATGTGGGATTATGAACAAGCAGGAATAAAAGTGACAGTCAGAGACACAAATTCAATTCGAAGTAAGCATTCGTGGTTAAATAGTCCTGTGGAGTCTATAAAAAAACCAATTTAGTTTACCTAACACCCCGCAATGACTATCAGGTCGAAGTAGTAGAACTGTGTCAGTCAGCTAGTCAGACTAGTGGAGCACAAAAGCTGGTGAAATCCAAAATAGTTAACCCTGATAAGATAAGAAATCTAAAGAGTAGTTCAGCTATACCATTCACTACATGCAATTACACACAGCTACACAATGGGATTGGATAAGATAACAGTCCAAATATCTAATGTAGCGGCGTGGAGGGAAAGATTGATAACGGAAGTTTTATTTATTGAATCAACTGAAAGTACTTGTAGTAGGAACAACTCAACACCAATTCGCCCTGAAGTCTGGAAAATTCTACTACCCCGACTACAGATAGGAAGGAATAAAGAGCGCCATAAAATGAAAGTTTTGAAGTTATGTAGTCATAATTGATATGCTTATGAACAGTAATAAATTTTGTTTGAAACTTCGTCAGCCAGTAAATAGTGTATGGTATATCTAACGAACAAATTAATATGGTCTTTTAGTAGTGAAAAATTTATTTCACAACACATAAGATTTTACTGATGTAATATGTATATTTGGGTATAATTATTACATAGAAGTAATATAATATTTGTAATTTTGGGGTGTAAAAGTCACAAGGCAGCGATTGTGACTTGAATAATTCACAGCCTTTATTATCTTTCGTCCATTGTCCTAAGTGATGCTTGTCAATGCGTGTCTCTGAATGATACTTCATTTTTGCATACGATTATGTGACTGGCGCGTTTGTCCATATTGATTATTTGGATTGAATGGAACTTCAGACATAGGATTTAATTTACCTGGTTTTTTAATTGTATCTGAAGTATTGATATATGGGTGGTTCACATTCTGTTCACTTTCACAAGATGAAAGGGATGCTAATTCAGGATTACCAGTAAGATAAGATTCATAGGATGAATTTCCTGAGCTTGTCATGTCGTTATAGTTAGCATATCCGTATCTTTTGAATTCAGATCCTCTTGTAGCTAAAAAATAAAAAGCAAGCGTAGACTTTCTGAAGATATATATATGAAGAGAGTTCATCTAAATCAACTATCTGCTTTGGTACTAGTTTAAGACAAAATATATATATCAAACTTTAACGAATGGTAAAGACAACAGATATTAGGAAGAGTCGAATAGTCAGCAATAACTTATATTCCCAAGAAGAAGTGTGCAGAGTCTTCTGAACACCTTGAGCAGCAATCTTTGAATGCTTCACATGCAATTTACTCCTGTCAGACGTAAGAGGATGTTTCAGGATCGGGCTACATCGATTCCAACCTTGACAATAGGCAGGAGTGAAGTGGTAGAGCGTGTTGACCACTTCACTTATTTGGGAAGCTATATCAACCCCCGAAATAACCGTCTTTTTATTGTCAAAGAGGCGTTTTCCTACTGCAGGTAACCCGAAGAATTTCTGGTCAGCCATATATTACGATGCAAAAATCGGTTTTCTGCGTTCAAACTATAACATATGGGTTTTGGCTGTATAAGTCAGCGGATTTAATGTCGAAAAGCCTATTGTCGGGTAATAAATATGTGTACAGTCAATTCGTCAACAATTACTTACCTCATTACGTAGGATGTTAAAGGTTGTCAGCAGGGTAAGCAGTTTGCCACTTAGCCAGCTTGTTAACATTCTGGTGGACAGGCACATGGACTCATGTGAAAAATGGGCGAAATCCATTTTATATGACTCACAACACCCTCTACATTCACAACTCTCCCCATGTATCTCTTCAGGGAAAACAAGAAGCCTATATAGGAAACTATATGCCCGCACTAGTAAGTACAAAAACTCAACCATACCCTACCTAGCCCGTGTTCTGTGCGATAAAGAATGCATCAGACATGAAACCTTTAACTTATTAAATAGTCAGTAGAACCAATGGATCTCGTCTTTTCAACTCACATCATTTATAGGTACAACGTTTTCTCGCTCTTCATTCTGTATTTTATTTTTGTTATGTGCTGTTTTGTTTCTCTCTTCCTTGCAAACTCTACTTAAAACATTCTTGTTCGTTCTTTCACACTCTGTATATCTCGACCATTTTGCTATCGCTTACGCCAGTAAATATGCTAGTAGTATCTACTTTTCTAACACCTTCAAACACTTTAATTTTGGCTTTGCTACCGACATACTAATATGTTGTTGAGATAACTTTAATCTATGTAGAACTTTATTTATTGTTAATGTAAAAACTGGATGCAATACTGTAGTAAAATGCTGAGAATTCCATTCTGTATCACAAGTACTGATTTGGAATAAAGCTTATGTTATGTTATGTTATGTTACTGGACATGTGGTGAGCTTCAGTTCAAGAATGACTGATGAGGAAAGAGTACCGGGGGGAACATCACCTGCAGCTTAATTAAATGCCGTTGTTTAGAAATTTGTATCAGTACCCAAAAGATTTCAATGTTGTAGCTGTCATCAATTAGTCTGTGTTTATCGTCCAAACGATTTTCAGATGAAGTTAGATGCATAATCTACTACTAGCATCGTAGTAGACTTTCTTGTCAGTTACGTTTAGGCCATAATTTGCAAAAAAAGTAGTAATTATCACAAGATTATGATTTGTCCTGCTAGTTACTTCCAAATGATGGTTAAACCATTGGCGTAAACAGTCAAAAATAGCGCCTCTTGGATAATTCGCTTCTCTCCGAGGTGTAATATAGACCGATCACTCAAACATTTTCGGTTCGCTCACGACCACTGTTGTACGTTTTCTTTATTAAGAAAGTTTCGTCCACGTGTACGACTACACCTCCCCCACACCACGAAGTAATTCTCTCCACTTTCCATTAGGCGATGTCTCTGCAGTGCTGGTACAACTGGACTGTTGACAAGGGGCTTTTTTCAGTTTCAGCAGCTGTGCCTCTCACAGGATTTTGTAAAACCCAGTAGTTACAAATATACAAATCTGGGTTGAGGAGAGGTGCGACCTAGTAAAAATTTTCCTACGAACTACTAGGATCTTCAACTCACCTTCCCTACTACTAACTCGTCTCAATCATATTGCACAACGATGGACATCCACCGATCGAACTGCTAAAGGTTTTTAAACTCCACATGAACAAGCACTCTCCTTCTTAAGTAAACCAAAATCCAGGCAACCCTGCAAAACCTTATCTTCATCGAACTGCAAGCGTAACTTAGTTAGGGCAGGAATTTGACACGAAACAAGCGGAATACAACCTTGAACTCACGTGGATGAACCTCATTGGATCATTTAAGGTCATTCACTGATTGGTAGTTAGTGGTGCTTAAAGTTTAACTTGACCGGCAGGATAACTTCAGCTATACTAACATCATGAAGTCTAGATGCTAATATCGCACTTCGACAAGTGTATATGCAGGATAATTCACAAGAAATTGTTAGGAGGGCAGTGTCTTGTGGTAGTGGGAAACATTTCACTGGACACCTTTCTAAGGATAGAAAGATTCTTTTCCACCTAATTCTAAAGAAAAATACACTTGAAAATTTCAATTACCACAGGAAATATGTCGATGGCGGACAGATTTCAGTTAATCCGTAGATTTAAGCATCCATAATGATTAACATTTATCAACTATTTCGCATACGATTGAGTCTCACAGGTTACAGAATGTATGGAATATCTCAGACAAAGTCATGTTCTCATTAGACCATTTACCAATGTACCTCTTATGAAAACTGTTTGCTATATATGTGATTATATTGATACATGTGGTTTAGAAATAGGCTTGCCAACAGTCCGCCTCAAAGAACTTTTATTGAGATGCACATTGAATGTTCAATTTACCTTCGATAATGAGATTTTTAGACAGAGTGATGCCATTGCGATGGGATCACCACTGGGTCCTTTTATGACTGTTTGTTTTATGGCAAAGCTTGAAAACTCTCAACTTAGTCAAAATACCGGTCGTTTCGACATTTATATAAGATAAGTAGATGACACTTTCCTTATCTGAGATAATAACGTAATTCTTGATGAAGTCTTGTTTGCTTTCAACAACTGCCATTCCTCTTTACAATTCACCATAGAAAAAGAATCTGAACCACGTATTCCGCTTCCTGATATGTGCCTTAGTAGACGTAATGATGAATCTCTCAAAAGATCCATGCACCAGAAACGTATATGGAACGGACAACTAACTAATTTGTACAGTTTTGTGCCTATTTCCAGGAAAAGGAACTTAATTCATTCACTCTGCATTAGGATAAGGAAAATTTGTAGTTCTGACTGCGTTGAATCAGAACTTGACTTCTTAAAAGCCACACTCTCAGAAAACGGTTATCCGAACCCATTTATCGACAGTAACACGAAAGATAGGCAGTCTGAACTGGTCGCTGACTCAGTCCCAAAGAAAACCTTATTCATGAACTTGGAATTTTAAAGTGATCAAGCTTCATATATGCTCAAAACTCGTCTCTCTAAAGTAGTCAGTAAGACGTTCTTTGCAGCAAAATTACAAATGACGTTCACCAGCCGCAAATTGTTCTCTACCTCTGTACAAGACAAGCTACCTCGTCTGACCGCCTCCATGTGTATCTATCAGTTCCTCCGCTCTTGTGGAGCAAGGTACATTAGCTGTAGCCACGCGTCTCTTTCTACACGGATACGAGAACATATTCCAGCAGAGTTTTACAAGGGAGAAAGGAAATGCATGTTAATCTCTATTCTAGAACACCTGATCGACCGCTGTCACTCTGCCAACCCTGACCATGGTTTTAAGATCATCTACCGAACCCATGCTTACTTGCCACGTTTCCTTCGTTATGGCCTTCTAAAGACAGCGGAGGCCTTGTCAGTTCATGACTTCAAGCCAGACCTTTGTGTACAAAAGAAGTATGCACAATCCCTACTTCTGCCTTCCATGTACCTTTCCCTTATTACTACGATTATTATTATTCTCACTCTGATATGTTTCTGCTCGTCCCACTTGTAATTCAAAATTCGAAATTATTATTTCTTTGTTTTTACAATATTGAATTCTATTTCACTAAATTGCACACCATGTTATCTAACACTTTATATTCGCCTACTAATCCTGTAAGTACGCACCCCTTTCTAACATCTATACACCTTATGCATTACTCTATATATGACATTAATTGTTTTGCTGCTTGACATTCAAGTATGTCTATAATCACAAATATTTTAATTTTGATTGCATTTTATATTACTAGTAATATTGTTTCATGTTTTCACACCTTTGATTCAATTCCCTCAACGAATATAATTTCTTAAAAACCATATACATATACGATTGTACAGCTCGATAATAAATTCGTTGAAAAGGGTCTCTTTGCCGAATATTCTGTTCTTTCTGAATGTATAATTGTCTATCAAAACACGAGATGCATTTAACTATGTAGCACTGAAATACGTTTTTGGTGTAAATGTGTTCTCAGAGTTGGCTGGTTCAGCTATAAAACTCTAAATTACCTAACTAGACAACATCCACAACGCATACTTCAATTTGAAGTAAATGTTTTGAAAGTCTCCACGAGTTTATCATTCATCTCTCCTAGTTGCCTGGTAACAAAAAACCATGTTCAGAGTTAATAGGAGAGGGGACTGGTAAATTCATGGAGACTACCAAAAAGCTTACTGCAAAGTGAAGTTGTGTAGTAGGGAAATCAAATGCTTCTCAACTAAACCATCTAGCTCAGGAAATATAACTACACAAGAATCACCCACCTGAGTTACAAATCTTCGTCATTACATTAAAATAACTGTTGGTTTGTCTACTGATCTGGCTTTATTCTAAAAAATATTTTTTGATACACTGTGGTATTCCTAGTATTTTAGTCCAACACCTAATGTTTTAAGTGCTACAGCAGCTGTGGGTGAAGCGGGTTCGAATCTCAGAAGAGAAATGAGTTCCTTCAAGATTGCAGATATGCCTTGCTGACTGGTAAGTGCCAACTATCACGAAACCGAGGTCAGGCGTAGGTTTCTGCTGATTGCCTCCAACCATCTAATATCATCGAATCAATGTGCACCATGATGGCTAGCTATCTAGAATGGTGGCCACATTGCAAACCTGACTGTTAGAATTCAGTCTGCACCAAAGATAGGACTAGACACGTCCCACTAGTTACTAGTGTCCAACCAAAGTAACCACTACAGTCCTACAGGAGGTCGGCCGCTAGCCCGAATAGCTCAGTGGCAACGTCTCTGACTGCAGCACTGGATGACACGGTTTCGAATCTCAGGAGGGACATGAGTTACTTCACGGTTTCAGATACGCTTTGCTGACGAGTGCCAACTAGCACGAAACCTAGGTCAGGCGTAGCTTTCTGCTGATTGCCTCCAACGTTCGCTGTAGCAATCACTGTCTACTTAAAGCTTACAATAAATACTTCTATACATATACATAAATTAATATATATAATACACAAAATTACCTGCATTAAGTAGAATTTGATTTGCTCTTCGATTGGCAAAATAATTATTTTGAGATAATGTTCGACTAGCTAGTTTAGCATACAATCTAGAGTCTTCTTTACTTCTCCATTCTAAATCTCTAGCAGACACACTTTGCTCTATATTATCATTCATGTATTCATGAGTTGAATTTGACTGATTGGATGAACTGTCAGTATTTGTTAGAGGCAGTTGTAAGCGTTCAATAGACATTGGCGGTAATATCCATTCATTTTTCTCTGAATCAAATCTATTTGTATTTTGTTAAACATGGCGGCAAGAAAAACAAAAAAAATAAATAAAGTGACATTTATGAAAGGTAAAGTTGCACTTAGCAATTCAGATACACAGATGAGGATATTAAGGCAAGACAGGCGTTCATTACTCTGGAGTCGGTACTGAGATCCATATTACACTTAGCATAAAGAACAAGATCTAACTGTTGAACACTAGCGTGAAGTCACTGGTTTGGAGAATCGATACGTCAAGAAAAGCATTTCTAACATGCTACTGTAGGCTTTCATGAACAGATGCGTTCGTTTCATACTGAAAATCAGATGGCCGAAACTGACTGACCGGTCTCACCGTAGAAATTTGCACAGATGTGGAGCAGTTCTACCGACCACACCCCATATAGCACGCAAATCAAGAGGGGAAATTCAAAAGAGAAATAACCAGGAGAAATATGAAGCAAAAAGAATAGTAATATGGAGTGATAGCAGATTATTATTGGGGATAATGAATCCCAAGGAGTGGATGCATTTGCACCAGCCATCGAGAACTATTTTGAAAAATATCACCGATTGTCCCCAGCCACTGGTTTCCATCATTCCAAGTATCCCAACCAGGAATTCTACACCCCCTTATGTGACTGACTGGCTTAAACTATCTGTTGTGGATTTCATTGAATAATGAAGCCATGTTTTGGTTTGACCACTACTAGCTGGCTCTTTTCCGGCCTGATCCATCCTAGGCATGCGAAACACATGTCTTAACCATCTCCATTAGTGTAACCTCACAACCTCGTCGATTGGTTTCCCCTCCTTACCTAGCGCTTGACGCCTAACCTCAATATTGCTCACCCTATTATACCACCTAACACACACGGGAGAAAGAATGCAGACACCTATGATCAAAGACAGCTAGCCAAACTTTTCATGTCTTCCAGTTTCAATGGCCATGTCTAACTCGTAGTCATATAGGAGGATGGAGCGAACTGCTGAGCAGGAACTCTGACAGTGAGCCAATCAACAATCTATTATTCAACAAATATGCCGGGGGGGAGAGTGAGGTGAATTCGACATACTCTGTGGAGTCCTTCAAGTGACACCACGTACTAGGCCCTTGAGCTGGACTTAAGTGGGGAGGGTGAGACGGGTTGGATATCGTAGGGTAACATAGGGGAGATCGTTGAAGGAGGGAAGAAAAATAGTTAGGCAGTCGTGGAGTTAGCTAAAAATAACTAAGGAGATCTAAGTTGCACTGAAGATATGCTGCAAGACTCGTGTGTTTCACTCGGAAAGTAACGATTGGGTCTTAATAATTTAGGTATAATGTAACAAAACTTACCACTGCTTAATACAAGTTGTGCAACCTGTTTATCTACCTTTAGCCCAATATACCCTTCTCAAACTACATCTGTCTATGAAGTAACATATACTTGTTTTATATAACTACAGATATTATGTAGGATTCATGAACGTATTTGAGTTTTTATTTGTACATGCTATTCTCGTCTATTTCAATCACTGGTTCACTTTTCTCACTAATGCAGTTTGTCTAAATACACAATGAGAAATATTCATGTCGCAAATAACTAACTAATTTAAAGCTCCTACCGAAAGAGATAAAGACAATCTGATTCTGTGGATTGGTTAGAACGCCTTCAGGTTATATAAGTCCCATATTTTCATGTTGAGTTGCTTCTAGAGAATAATCCCCTCAGAGAACAAACTATCACACCCTCAGGAGTAAAGCTTTCAGTACACACAGTACACAGTAACTTGATACCTTACAGTTCAAGTGAGTGAAATTGTAAACTACCTGTTAGTTTGTAATTCCCTACTTCTTATTGAAATGAAAAATGTTCGGGATGCGAGAGAAATTCACTTTTTTTAAACGACTACAAAGTGATACAGATTACTTCTGATATACATTCTGACGTAGTTGCGTTCTCTGAGCTGGATGGTTTATTTGCCAAGCTTTCATTGCCCTACTGGGCAAAATCTTCAGCGCATACTTCAATTTGAAGTGAGCTTTCGAATTTCTCCATGAGTTTATTAGTCATCTCTCCTGGTCACCTTACCTTGAACGTTGATGAAGGCGTATCTTGCCTTCCTGGTTTTGGCTGTCTGGCTGGCTTTGACGTCTTTATCCATTCCGACTGCCTGTGGTTGAAGTGATGCTTCCTGGCTGAATAACCGAAGGAAGTAACCTCTATCAATTCTCTCCTGTTGATGGTAATTGGTTCTGGTTGTTGCTGATGTTGGTGCATGGTTGATTATCTTCCTCACTTCCGTCTTGTTTATGTTCACCTGGAGTCCCGTCTTCACCCCCTGCTTCTTCAGCCAGTATGTTTCTTTTCACCTGTAAGTCTTGAAGTTTGTATAACATTAAACGTAAATCATCCGCGAAATTCATAACTTCTAGAATCGCATTATCGGTCCTCTTGTGAGATTAACTTCAATCCAAAGAATTTTAAAGGTATTAAAGGTTTATTTCATTTTACTTCGTTAAAACTCGAATCATTTGCTTACTTGGCTGTTCGTTTAATCTTGTCCAAATTATGATAATTACTATCTCTACGTATGCATGGTTGAACTCTATCCAAGATCATGTTAAGCAGATTTATTTGATTCTGTTGACGTCGTATAGTCTCTAGATAATCGCTTCGATCCTGTTCAAATTCTGATTGGATATCTTTAATTTCCATTTGTAATGCATAAACCTATTTGTCAAAGGGAGAAATGAAATATTTATATATACATTTAAAAATGAAATACTCGTAAAAAAGGCATGAGTACACTTTCATAAAAAAATAAATTGAAAGATAAAAAGCCTACAGGTGTAAACTGTTAAGTTTTCTGTTACAGTTATACTAATTTTTAAATTGGCGATATGAGAAGGTACAAGCCTAAAGTTTTAGATTAGGGACTAGTCAGTGACTAGTGTAGTGTATCTAAAGCTTTGTTTGCTTCAGACTGGATTTTGTCAATCAGATTTGCCAGCATTGTGACAAGCATTCTAGGCGGCTCACCAGCACAGTGAACTTTGAATTGTTGATATCAGATGGTTGTAGGCAATCGGTAGGAAGTCTTGCTTGCTAGTTGGTACTCGTCAACAAGGCGTATCTGACTGCAGCACTAGGTGACGCGGATTCGAACCTCAGAAGGGACGTGAGTTCCTCCAGGGTTTCAGATACTCCTTGCTGACTAGTGAGGGATTCCTGCCGATGGCCTCAAACCGTCTAATTTCAAAATTAGAGTTTTACTGTAAACCAGATTCAATTAGCCGATAACTGCCCGTTTCATACATTTATTATTTTTTCTTCATAAACTTAAAGAAAGCAAGAAGAACACAATGAGCAGGATAAAATGGCGTCATTATACGTCTGTTGGTTCCTGTTTTTATCTAAATTCCTGACTGAACCTTTTTTGACCTTTACACAAGTGAAATGTCGATTTTACGCCTCTGTTGAGTCAGTAACATTCGTTGGTAATTCTAGAATATATCTTAATTATTTCAATGCATACTAACGAACTTAACAACGATTTATGGCCCCTTTCCTGTTATGCTACTTAACCCTGTGTTTCTGTAAAGGTTTCTACCATAATGTCGTCCGTATCAATCAGCAGTTAATGAGGTATGTGGAGTCCTGAATAAGGAAATTTGAACAGATTTTACTAAATGTAAAAGAATCGACACATTATACATAACTTTTGTTTTATCCGACATTTTTGTTCAATGCATAACCTTCCCATTTTATTGAAAATACAGTCGTACTTTCCCTTGCTTCATATGCTCTCTGGTTTCTACGGTTTGCTTACTGTGCTAATCCTCATGCTGTATTCCTTGCCAGTTGTGCCAGTCCAAAGACTTTTCAGTGACTGGTTAACTGTTTGTCTCTGTCTGGATTCAACATAGAACTTGGCACCGAAGTGCAGCAGTTTGAGTTGCCACCTTCCAAATAGCACACAGAGGTAGACAAGAAGATGAGTGAAGTGAATCAATACAGTCTGACAAGTATAAGAGTGAAACAGAATGGGTAATGGTAGAAAGGAATATGAAAGATTACAGAGATTGAATACATCTGCGCCATTGACAACGATTTTGAGCCATGTCACCTATTGTCTCCAGCCATTGATTCCTAGAGTCCCGAGGGCCCCAACCCGGGAGTCTGCATCTCCCTACCTGACTCAGTTTAACTGTCAAGGATTTCATGGATTGATGCCATGTTTTTGTTTGGCCACCACTGGCTCTTTTCCAACCTGCACTTATATCAGCCAGCAATGTCCGTCGGGGGAGGCGGTGGTTAGGCATGCGCAGAACGTCACCTAGCCATCTTAGTCTATGTAACTTTATAGCCTCGTCGATTGATTTTCCCTCTTTGCCCAACACTCTACGCCTAACGTCAACATTACTTACCTTGTGAACCACCTAACGTGAGACAGAGATCTCAGACATCTATGATCGAAAGCAGTCAACCTTTTCATGTCTTCAACTCGTATTGGCCATGTTTCAGAGCCATAGAGAAGGACGGAGCGAACTGCTGAGCAGTACACACGTCCCTTGGTTGATAACCGGATGTCACGCCTACGCCAGAGATGGTGTAAGTCAGCGAAAGCAGCTCGAGCTTTTCGGATCCGTGCTGACTGGTTAACAACTTCTACCAGTGGATACAACTTATCGGGGAAATAAATATAACTATAACTTTAGTATCAGATAACTATTGTCTTTTACAACTCATTTATCAGTTTATCAACTTAATCGTCTCTTTTCAGCATGGGTTCAATTTTACATTGTCAGATGGTGGAAGTTTTAAAGATAATAAACCATGTGCAGATTGTCAGACTTGATAAATGTATAAATCTTACAAAAACAGCATGTGTTTACATGATGTCAATCAAATTTGCGTTGATTTTAGCACTTCATGATGGGAGACTGGGGTAGGTCAAATTCTGTCTTAGTCTTTCATTCCTATAGAGACGATCTGAATTCCACTTGATTAGAAGTACTTCTGATATTAGACGTTCTTTGTAATTCCTGAAATTTTTCTGGATGTTTTCAGTATTGTCAAAATCAGTTTTGTGGCCTGATTCTATATGGCTGATGATTTTTCAAGCCTTTTTAGTTTAACTGGATTTCTCGTCGGTCTAACAGAGACGGCTCTACGGTGTTCATTTCTTCTGATTTTGATTTCTCGCAACATCTGTCGGATACATATCACATCACATTCCAAGCATTTTATTTTGTAGACAAAATTGAATTGTGAATCCTTCGGAATTCGACCTTTTACGTGGACAAGACTGCTTTGAAGTGTCTCCAATGTTTTGAAGAAAACTCTGATGTTGCGTTTATTGAGTACTCTTCTAAAATCGTCTGACCTTTCCACATTTTCAGAATAGCTATTCGACCATGTTTTATGTTGGTCTTGATTTTGGTAATGAAGTTCTTTGGATAGTTATTTTTCTTCGGAATTTCAATAATATTTGATATTAGATGAAGCAATAAGAAGACGTAATTTGTCTGAATCGTGTAATGTATTTGTGCAACACATTTCGAACAATCTGATCACACACGGACTTGTCATAGGAATATATATGAAATTAATAAAGAGGTAGGAGGTGAGAAAAATAGACTTAGGTCAAGTTAAAAGGACATATTCAAGGTCAAAATAACAATGAAGACCACTAAACCAAATAGCAGAGGCAATAGTACATCTGCTATGGTATCAAAACAAAATTTACCAAGGAAGGTTTAATGTGATGACAAATTGTTTTTGGACGCATAAAGGTGGCTTGAACTTTCTAATTGCTAGGGCTTCTACAAACTTTAGGATACGCCCCAAACACGTTTTATAGATAGGTTTAAAAGATCTGTTAACATCAGTTTTATAACCTGTCTCTATCATATGTTTCGCAATAGAAGAGCTAGGTCTCCTGTTCTCACCGTTAATAGGTTCTGATGATTCCATTTGTTTCTGGAGCCATTTTGGAATATGCTCTGAAGCCCTCACTTGCAGAGATCGATGAGTCCTCCCTATTTATGTGTGTCCACACGTACATTCAAATTGGTAAATACAGTGGTATGTGACGTCATTTTTCGCATGTTCGAAGGGCTTAGATAGATATAATGGCTTTACATTCTCTAGTATTATGATATTAGCTGCATAAAATGTCTTTTTAACAGAAGCGTTTAGTCTTTGTCTAGTAATCAAGCTGCTTTGATGCCCCATATAGGGTAGCTTAATGTACACGTCTTTCTTAGAGGTGAGTTGTAGAGTGGGTCTTGGTGTTCTGACTACTTTATATCTCCTGATAAACTTGTAAGGATAATATATATATATATATATATATATATATTTCTTTGACAAGTCCGTGTGTGATCAGATTGTTCGAAATGTGTTGCGCAAATACATTACACGATTCAGACAAATTACGTCTTCTTATTGCTTTATCTAAATTCATAAAGGGAACTAATTGTTTTAAATATTTGATATCTCTTATTCTTCTTCCTTTTTACCCGTTATCAGAGAGTGTAGACGTCAGAAAAAACAAAATTTTTTCCCACACTATTAAGAATTCTTTTAACCTTTTTCGAAACTTTTTGATTTCGACCGTGAACACTTTTTATCACTATGATCAAAGAAACAGTAGACCAGTAGTTCAGCGAAGAGTCTCTTTTCGGAGACGAATTCATTTTCATAGCTGTACAATCGCAAATAATATTTATGGTTGTTTTGTATGTATGTGTGTACATTAAATTTGTCAAACAAAAATACAATTAGTAAGTTCAGATGAATTAGATGTTGATATAAGAGGGTAGTAACAAAAGTGATGCCTTGTCACAAACGATTGTTAAAGAAGAGCTACGTAACAACACGAATAGTTTGACGAAAGAGTTGTGTTCAGGGTGTACATGTAAAGAAAATAACATATGGAATGCAATAATCGAATATCTCGTCATCACTAGTCATTCCATCTCAACAAACGCCTCCTTCAAATTAATCTACAAAGTGAAGAATTTCCTGCTAAAGACAATACGTTTCCATCTTCTTTGCATTGCAGAAGCCCTAGCGATGTATTCAGAAGAACCAGAACTATATATACAAAAGAAAATTATTCAACCACTTCTATTACTATGATAACAACTCCGTTGATTCGACTTAACTTTTGCTTGTATGCTCATTTTTCTAACTACCTGTGTGCTATTTTATTCAGTGTGCATCCTGAGTACAACTCTTTCGTCAAACTATTCGTGTTGTTACGTAGCTCTTCTTTAACAATCGTTTGTGAAAAGGCATCACTTTTGTTACTACCCTCTTATATCAACATCTAATTCATCTGAACTTACTAATTGTATTTTCGTTTGACAAATTTAATGTACACACATACATACAAAACAACCATAAATATTATTTGCGATTGTACAGCTATGAAAATGAATTCGTCTCCGAAAAGAGACTCTTCGCTGAACTACTACTGGTCTTATGTCTATTAATGCTCAAATGGAGATTTTTCATGAAACAAAGAAACAGACAAACAAACAGCCAACCAACAGAAATGAATTATTACCTTTTGTTTTTGTTTTTGCAATGCTTTGCTTTTATAATGTAATTCATCTTGTATACTTTCATATATATTAATCATTATACCATCATCTTCTAAGTCTGCATTAGCCTCAGCTAATCGACGCCTTCTTTCTTCAGCATATCGTCTACGTCGTGTTATCTTCTCACGAACTTCTTTGTTCCCAGCTTGTTCACCACCAACAAAATTGCCTTCTAGTAATCTGAGTCTGTTAATTAATCATAAAGTTGAATTGCATATTACATAAGTTTATTTAGAATAACACACAGCGATGTGGTATTAACAACTAGATGACATTCCCAGCATAGATTACTGTCCACAAACATATCATTTTGGTCACACGGCTTCATGATTTGCTTCATATGTGTTTTTCTCTGTCTCTTACCTTTGTTATTTGTTGTCACTTTCCATATCTCCGGTATAGGCATTGCGTCATTTCAATTGCTCGCGTTCGGTGTTGAATCGATGAATACAACTTCAGTGATTAACCTCTCCCGTTCTCCACCTAACTATTATTACTTTTTAATACTCTCATCCTATCTTATACACTCTATTTTGTAATTACATGCAAGTGAATGTAATACATTGGTTTAGCTTTTTCTGGGTTGTTTAACTTATCAGAGTCAATTATTCTAGATCTAGCTAGATTTTTATATTCCAATAATCTCGTTAACCCCGATTTACTAGTTTGACCTATGTAGCTGATCACTCAGTCAGCATCACGTGATGTTTGGTAAGCCGACAAAGTTCATCTCTGGGAGAGTTGGTTGGTTGGTATAAACGCCACTTCACTCCAGGCTTCATTAAGAATCCCAATGTTTCTCCTCTATACCTCAGTACTACAGAGACCTTGAATTCTATAAAAAAATTCAGTCATTTTCACTATTAATCTTTTTTCCATCGTTCCTCATACATTTCTGAAAAGAATCTGGTGGCTGGTTATTCACTAGTGGTATTTCCTTTATTTGTTTGATTTCATCAATGAAATCTTCCGGCTTACTAGTTAGGCTCTTGGCCCTACCATACAGATATTTAACTGAACCTATCTCTGCCCATTCTGTATAGGATGAACTGAAGTCTAAGTATTTGTTAGAGTGTATCGGTTTCCTATAAATGCCACTGTTCTAACCCACCATCTTGTTTTCGTTTTATTCTACAGTCTAGTCTAGTATGGCCAACTCACCCTATTCGTTTTCTGATTCAGAAGTGAATTGGATTCCGTCTACTGTTGAGTTTACATGAGAGATATGTTCAGATTTCAACACAGTGAATTTGTTAATATACGTGTAAAACTTGGCCACTGTGGTAGTATGTAATTCCATATTAGTTTCTTTAATAGATGTATCACACAGTGAAACAATATTATTTACTGGATGATGTTTCGAACAAAATTTATTGTTCATAATCATATCAATTATGATCACGCAACTTCGAAACTTGAGTTTTATACTTTCCTTGTCTTCTTCTATTTGTCGTCGCTGGGGTAGTAGAATTTTCCACATGTCTGTGTGGACAGGTGTTGAATCATTCCTATTACATGTATTTGCAGTTGATTCGATTAACAAAGTTTCCGTTGTTATCAATCTCTCCCTCCACCCTGTGATATTATATTTTAAAACTGTCATCTTATCCCATCCATCCTATTGTATGGTTGTGTGCAATTCCTTGTAGTGAGTGCTATAGCTGAACTATTCTGTAGATTTCTTATCTTATTCGGACCAACCAATCTAGATTTTGCTAGGTTTTGTGATCGGCTAGTCAGACTGCCCCTGTTCTACATTAAGGAGTCTAAATCATCAGTAGCAATTCCATACAAGGAAGGAACCTCGGAAACCCTACGCAAAATTCTTAACAAGGCAGAAATAAAGTGGCATTAAAACCCATACACTCAATTATTGGTTAAGGGAACCGCCAGTCGAGCCAGTGAAACAAAACAATTTACTTTATCTAATATCCTGTCTGCAATGATTGTCAGGTCAAATACACAGGTCAAACTAGTAGACTTAAACAAACTATTTAATGTCACTTGAAAAGTAAGGAGCAGTTATATGAAAAAGAGAAGACGTTCAGCAAAGAGACTCTTTTCGACGGCGAATTCATTCACACAGCTGTACAATCCTATTTTTATATAACTATTATGGTGTGTCTGTGTGTGTACATGAGGTTTGTCAAGTTTAGATAATTAATCAGGTAATACAAGAATGATCTAATATAGAAACAATGTGAATTAGACAGCAACTAAAGTAAGATTGAGTTAGTAAGTTAGATGACGTAATATTACTGACTAAAATGTTTCAACCTAGGTCAGGAGAGCAACAGAAGTGATTACAGGTAGAGACTAAGTAGAGGTGGGGTGGGGAATAACACCAGCATGGTTTTACAAAGGAGGAATAGAATACTCCCGCACCTCTATCTTAGAACATTTGATAGATTCTGAACAATTGGCTAAACCCTAAACAAGCTTCAAAGTCATCTACAGGATATGAAGCAGTCTTCCTAAAAGTGTACGAGTCAAGCTTCTTCAAACTGCAGAAGCAGTGGCAATTCATTCGCTTAGCCCTGAACTCTGCATACAGAAGAAGTTCGTTCAATCACTACACTTGCAATGTACGTAATCTATCTTATTACCCGACAAGTAAATTCTACCTGATCTTTTTTCTCTTCTGTCTCTTCATTAATACAATTCTGTCTTCTCAATTGTAATATTTTACATTTTCAACCTTCTTGTTCTCTACCCCACCTGATTTAGTTTCTACTCTTCATTACCACTGTTACTGACTTGATTAACGCTCAATTTTGTAGTCATTTATGTTACCTCATCCAACTTATTTGCTCAATTTCAGTTCTAATTTAAATAGCATTATTCTCCACCCAACCTCTACTTAGTCTCTACCTGTAATCACCTCTGTTGCTCTCCTGACCTAAGTTGAAACATTTTAGTCAATTATGTTACGTCATCTAACTTACTAACTCAATCTTACTTTAGTTGCTGTCTAATTCACATTGTTTCTATATTAGATCATTCTTGTATTACCTGATTAATTATCTAAACTTGATAAACCTCATGTACACACACAGACACGCCATAATAGTTATATAAAAATGGGATTGTACAGCTGTGTGAATGAATTCGCCGTCGAAAAGAGTCTATCTGCTGAACGTCTTCTTTTTTTCAATGACTCAATGAGAATTTTTAAGCTATAAAACATTTCTCGAAAGTTTATACTACCAGCAAAGCATATGCTGGTGAATTACAATGAATAATCATAATGATCGCAGCAGAGCAAGAAGTTATAATATCCTAAGGTTAGTTTATTTCTCATAGAAATAAACAGAAGCTAAAACATAGCTATGCCACCACAAAACGCTTGTTTGTTTTGAAGATGCTGGTAGTTCAGAGTCCCATTATATCACAGTAGTGATTGATTGTCTGTCTAGTTTTTGCTTAATGATGTTTGACTGAAAAAACGAATATTTCTTCATAAGGTTAAACTTAGTTCTTAAAACAACTCGATTATATATATATATATATATATATATATATATATATATATATATATATATATATATATATGACTAACTGAAAACTAAGCCACCAATAAAGCTTCTTTTGTCAAGACATTTGTTAGCGATGTTTATTCATGTGTATGAAAGCTATCTACCACTAATTGAACATCGCAAGTATTACGTCTTACAGTGTTGAGTATCAAGGTAGACAGTCTTTATAAATCCAAAGATGATTGCCGGCAAATGATGAATTAAACTTGGCGCTCATTTCTATGGCTTATGTGTGTGTGTGAGGGGGTGCCAGAAGCCTATACAGTTTATTGTATCAGTTACCGAATGTCAGAATGATTGTCAATTACGTAAGATACACGGGTTCATCTTCCGGCTGACGCGATCCCTTAACCCCTTATCTAGCTGGTAGCAAGCTCGGAAAAGGGGAGAGGTTAGGTGTGAAGCTAGCAACTCCATCTAGTAAATACTGCTAAAGAAACTGTTTACATCCTTGAAATCATATAATCTATTAAGAAAGCATGGAATTGGGGAAAAACATTTTTCAAACGTTTTTATTATAAAACTGTTCTTAGCTGCATACAAATGAATATTACTTGATTCCTTTAAATATTCAAGTATTGGTTTTGTAGGGATTTTATCTGATTGAATGAAGGATTTCATCATGAGCTGACATCAGTTAGAGAACCACTGGAAAACCTAGGAGTACTGAACAGCTGTTTTGTCCTATTTTGGGACTCTTCATCAGTACGTGACCACCGGGTTTCGAGCCCAGGACCTTCTAATTACGAAGCTAGCTAGCTCGTAGACCATTGAGACCATTTATGTCGACGATACAGTAAAATCGCAGACAGTAACTAAGGAAGACAGTCTGTATAGAATATAGATATTTACTGAGGCTTATTGGGCCATATTAAAAATTTTCTGCTTCGGGTTATCTTTGCAATGAAATATTTTAGTGGTATTGTTGCATTCCCAGTCCACTCTGCTGAGTTTATGGGTTTTTACAATTTCTTATCGGTACGCCTAACAAATTGATTTTACAAAAAGAAAAAACTAGTCAGTGGTTGCTCATGAATATGTCCTCAGCTATCTAATCCGGGATAACCGAGACTAGAGGCAAACATATCACTATTTAGATATGAATTTTGAATCCAGTGTCTCATAAAGCGGCATTTTTCAAACCTTTATGTTTCCTTAGTTGTCCCTTAGACATCAGTAGTACATCTCTGTTGCACTCTCTTCCTTCTAGTCACTTTCACCTGAATCTACGATTGTCCACAAGCCTTCATTTCTTTTTTCACATGATCTCCTCCATGTCATCTTCAAACGCCAAAGTCGTCGTATCCCACTCGGTTTTCATTTGATTGCCTGACAGAAAGCGTCACTCAACACTCTTCTCGAGTATGTCCAGTCTATTTCCATTTGGGCATATCTGTGTTGTTGAAGCCCTATGTTCCACGCAGAACCCAAGAGAACAATAATAATAACATAATAATAATAATATTTGTTAGATAAAATTTTGTTTGTTAGTTTGTAACGACCGAAGACAAGTGTCAGGCAACAGATCGTTTATTCAGGAAATCAAGAGATACTCGTATATATTTATGTACATTAATATTCGTTATTATCAGTAGAGAAACCGCGTCTTCTGATTGGTTGTTAATCTGTCATCTCTTTGTGGCTGTTTCTTTGAAGGCCAGACCATATGTCTGCGAATCGTATCCGCCCACTCAGAGTCTGCTGTGATTGGTTGTTATTGAGTTAGTCTTTGTTCTTGTTCTTTTCTCATGACCAAGATTTTTTTCTGGTCATCTGATTTTCACTAACGAGCCAAGATAGTTATTGATGAAAGTCTGCAGGATCCTGTATGATGAAATGGTCTTTTTGAAGTACACACAAAGTCTCTCAAGCATATAGAAGCACTGACTGGACACTAGTTTTAAGAATTCGAAATTCTGTTAGTTGTGCTGAGTATAGTAGATCTTCAGACTGATAGACATCTGCCTGTCTTTCTCTCCCTGCACTACCTGTGCAGCTGGTAGTTTAGAACAGTACTGTTTAGGCAAGTTTAAGAAACAACTTCCTTTAGATTTCTAAGACTGATGATGACTGTTGCTGGTTGTTGTTACTGGCTGGATGTCTTCATCCCCTCTTTCTTCTCTATGGGTTCACTTGGTTGGCTATTCTTCCACCTTGGTGGTATTTTAATTAATGCTAAAACTTATTTTCACGTCTCTTAAACTAATAAACTCTTGAGAATATGAGGAAAATCATATTAAAATGGTGGACATATAGAAATAATTGATCCATGATAATAATAACAATATTATGAAAAAGGTTTTATCAATAAAACAACCTTCTGATTAGTTCATCTTTACTCATATTTTCACTGAATGAATCGACAAATGCATTTCTTTCCTCTTGTGGTAGTCCAGTTGTTCGAATAGAATCTACTTCTAACTGCATTTTATTTTGCATTTGATTATCTCCAATTATATATGCTGCTGCAGTAAAAGAAAATAGAGACGGTAGGAAAATAGTGACATAATGAATTAAAATTTATGGATAAAACTGTGGTGAGAGTTGTCTGCAAGGCGAAAATTGTAGACAACAATTTACGTCAATGTTTACTTCCTAAAGGTCAAGACCTCTAGGAACCCACCAACTAATCACAGCACACTTAACGGGTGCAAATACGATTTGTAGATATATGGCTTAACTTTCTGAGAAACGGTTACAAGCAGTAGAGAATAACCTTCAGCGAGAAAACAACCAATCACAAGACGTTTCTTCTCTGCTAACAATAACACTAGTAAAAGTGTTCGTGAAAATCTATAAATATCTATTGATTTTCTCAATAAACTATTTGTTGCCTGGCACTTGTCTTCTGCCCTTACGAAATTATTTTCAGCGTATATTTCTGTATGCTTTCACATAAGCTGGCTAAATATTCATACAAAACTCTGGCAACAAAACAAACCAAGAGCCTATTGCTCAACAAATACGTTGAAGAAAAAATGGAAATGGATCGAGCATTCGTTGAAGAGGCCGTTGAATGGGATTGTGCACAATACAGGCCATCCCTAGAATGGAATCCCAATGTGAAGCGACGAGTGGATCGTCAGTGCGACGATGACATGGAGGATATAGTGTACCGAAGAGGAGGACGAGAGGATGAAAGATTATGGGCAATCGTGTGCCCAGTTGAAGAGGATAGCAGAAAATAGAAGAAAGTGGAAATGTGTTGTTGAAGCCCTATGTTCCACTCTGCACCCAATGGAATAGTATATATATATATATATATATATATATGTATATATATGTATTCATATGTGCATACAACGCGAAGGCATAATTCGTCCAATGAAATTCTGATAAGTTGTTACTGAAATTAATTCCTAGTCCTATTATCATCTTATCTGAGAGAGACGAATCTGTTCAGATCACAGGCAGTCCGATGTGAAGATCACCTAGATCTAGTTGATTAGCAAACCTTACCGGTTAATATCAGCGGTACACAGCTACTCATCTCAGTCAATCAGTAGTATATAGATTTGTGCAAATTGTAACCTGTAAGAAGTTATGTGTCGTCAGTAGAATAAGTCAATCAGGAAACTAGGTAGCAATACTGCACCGATTGACAGGCCATCAATGTCCTTGGTGAACTTCCTTGTTTTCAGGTTAATTCTGTATTTTCCGATAACTGATTTTGTTGGAAAGAAATGCAGATACGTCCTAAATAACGACTTCCGAATAGGACGAAGTGCGATCGAATCCATTTGCAGTAAGATAAAGGTGAAAAAATTCCAGTGATAGAATATTAGCTGCTTTCATATATGCTATGCACCAAGATTACACAAAGTAGTTAAAATTTTTGAGAAGGTCTAATTACAGTAACTACTGGTTTACTAAAAGCGCTGGACCCTACGTCACAGTTAACTCTGTCTTTCTTTTACCTTTTGTCCAATCCTCATGCAATAAATACATTATTCTCTGTTAACACCTGATATGACAGCTAAGACTGGTTGAATATTATTGGAACAATGGAAGAGAAAGGCCAGGCAACAGATCGTTTATTGGGAAAAAAAGAGATATGCAGTAGATTTTTATACACATTATTATTTGTGTTATTGCTAGCAGAGAAGCAACGCCTTCTGATTGGTTATTTTCTTGCAGAAGGATATTCTGTACTGCTTGTGACCATTTCTTAGAAAGTTAAGTCATTTATCTGCAATACGTACTTGCCCCTGTTAAGTGTGCTGTGATTGGTTGTTGGATTCCTCAAGGTTAAGCTTTGTGTATTGTGTTTTTCTCATGACCTCGATTCGGGAAGTAAACACTGACGTAAACTGCTATTTACAATTTTTGGCTTGCAGACAGCTCTCACCATATTATGATTTATTTCTACCCTTGTTAGCTGACGAACTCAGTAGTACAGCAAGCAAATGTTACTCAGCAATTATTTGCGGTTCTTTGATAGGGTCTAGTGATACTGCCTAGTTGACTAGAAATCGGTAGGTGGAACCCGTGGTTAAAAGTTGATGATTAATGAGACACATCCACATCAGTCATACACAGATGACTGCAAATAAACAAACAGGGTAGGGTAAATCTATGTATAAATATGTAATCTATCAGATGAAGCTAATATACAAAAAAATAAAATGATCAGCATGATATTTTTGAAAAAGAAAAATTCAGCGGAGTTTGACCACGGATTGATAACAGTAAGAGAACCATTGAAAACCAACACCAGAGTACTGGACAGCTGTTTCATCCCACTAACTTGGGAATCATCTACAGTACGCACCCACAGTCAGGGTTCGAACCCAGGTCCTTCTAGTTACAAGGCAAACTTGTAGACTATTCAGCCACTGGGACAGGATTCAATGGAGAGCCCATGAATTTTAACTTCTACCGATTCGTTATTTAGCGCGACCACCAATCAATGTCATCGGTGGAAACTCCATCCTCATATTTGACTGGATGGAAATCACTGGTCACAACCTCCCACCAGAGCTCCAGGAAACCCTGTCCTAGTATACGAGCTTGCTTTGTAACCGGAAGGTCGTAGGTGAGTACTGCCGATGATTCCTAAATTAGGATGAAACAGCTGTCTAGTACTCCTATGCTGGTTTTCAATGCTTCTCTAACTGATATCAATCTGTGGTCAGTCTCCTATAAACAAATTTTATTCTTACAAACCAAACTCTTGGAAAATTAGAAAAATTTACATTAATTAAACAAATGTGTAACTTAACTCAAGAAAAAAACAAACGACTTAATGCAGAGAAAGTTTAGAAAGAGAAATAGAACAAATAAAAGTAACCCTTTGACAACTAAATGAAGCTAACTAATAATTACTTTTAAAAGAAGCATTCATGACAGGTGGCGATTTAATGTTATCTTGAGCACCGTTTGTACTTAAATTTATATCTGAACTAGACGATTCACTGTTGCACAATGCGTCTGTTTTCCACCCCGCATTAAGAACTACATATTAAAAGCCAACAACAGTAAAAAGAAAGATTAACACCTAGTAAATATGGAATGAAAATGAGGTGGCCTGCGTGTAACGTTCATTTTTACAGGTTACCTAAGTTGTCAGAGTCTGTGAATTTATATACACAAAATATCTGAAATGATTTAATAATTCCCATTGTAGCATCAAGAACACAATATTCAGAGAAGAGACTCCTTTCAACGAATTAATTATCAGGCTGTACAATTGTTATATATATATATATATATATATATATATATATATATATATATATATATATATATATTTCAAAGAAATTACATATGACGTTCACTAGCCGCAAGTTGTTCTCCATCTCTGTAAAAGATCAGCTCCCCCGTCTGGCCGCCTCCATGTGCATCTATCAGTTCACCTGCTCTTGTGGAGCGAGGCATATTGGCCGTAGCCAGACGACTCTTTTCACACGGATACAAGTACATATGCCAGCATGGTTTTTACAAGGTAGAAAGGAAGTGTGGGCGAAGCTCTATTCTAGAACACTTGATCGATTCCTGTCACTATGGAAACCCTGACAATGATTGTAAGATCATCAACCGAATTCATGATAACTTGCCGCGTTTTCTTACTTACAGACTTCTAAAGACACCTGAGGCCTTGGAAATTCATAACTTTAAGCCAGACCTTTGTGTATGAAGGAAGTATGTACAATCCCTACTTCTGCCTTGGTCATAGAGGGATAGACATTTGTTTATTTTGTTTATTTAGTTATTCTGTGTACCTTTCCCTTATTATTACAATTATCATTATCATTATTGTTATTACTATTCTCGCTCTGAATCTTTTCCACTTGACCCACTTGTCATTTTAAACTCAAAATTATTAATTTTTTACATTTTTTGTTTTTACAGTATTGAATTATATCCTATCAAATTTCACACCATGTTATGTAACATTTCATATTCGTCTACAAATCTTATAATTATGCACATTTTTCCAAAATCTATCCATCCTATGAATTATTCTATACATGACATTAATTTGCTTTGCCACTTGACATTTAACTATAATTATAATCACAAACATTTCACTTTTAACTGCATTTTATACTACTATTATTATTTTATGCATTCAAAGCTATGATTCGATTCCCTCACTGGATATAATTTCTTAAAAACCATATATATACGATTGTACAGCATGATAATAAATTGGTTGAAAAGAGTCTCTTCGCTGAATATTGTATCTGAAATGCTAAAATGTTATTTTATTTGCTGAATAATTTCAGCGTACACCTTCAGATGAACTTGAAGAAATGAATAATGGGTATGTTTACGCTTACAGCTAGTGGGAAATAAGTCAAGATGTTGGTGGTTTAATGTCGGGATGCTTGACAATCACTCAATTGGTCCGGGGTTGATTCCCAGCTTAGGTATTCCTAATATCTCTTTTGGCTGGTAGTAAGTCTGTTAAGTGACAACAAAGCCCCGTGAAAATCATTACAGTCACTAACACTTTCAGGCTGAAGATAGAAATCTCATGTTTCACTGTGAACTCAAAGGAATAAGAAAACGCTAAGATATGGTTCTGACTCAGATAGACTTACATTTACATTTCAATAATACTAAAAAAAGATGCTTAAAATATAGGTGCGATCTAGTTTCCATGTAGTGGGATCACTGAACGCGATTGGTGTTATGTTCATTGTAAGGAAGAAGGAGAGGTGAAAAACTAGAGAATTACGTCGCTAATGAAATATGAGTTCAGAGTTCCTTGAATGAAATTACTGATGTGTAGACCCATCACCAATAAGAAATTTGAAGTATATGCTGAAGATCTGGTCTAGTACGATAATGAAAGCTTCACAATTGAAGCCTCCAGCTCAGAGGACACAGAGACACCACATCTGTTTGTGGAACTACACTTCCATATTAATATTCGTGCGTTCACCTACACATAATAAAATTAATAATAAAATTTCATAGGTTAACGAAACTTTATTCATATCACTTCACCCTAAGAAGT